TTATAGTTTCGGCCTTACATTTAGATTTTTACTCCATTTTGCATTAATTTTTGTATATGGTGTAAGATAAGAGCCCATTTTATTCTGCTACATATGGATATTCAGTTTTCCTAGCACCATTTGTTGAAGAGACTATCTTTTCCTTATTGTATATAGTCTTGGCATCCTTGTTAAAGATTATTTGGCTGCATACATGAGGGTTTATTTCTGGGCTCTGTTTTACTGGTCTATATGTCTCTCCTTATGCTAGCTAGTACCATACTGTTTTGATTACTGTAGCTTTGTGATATATTTTGAAATTAGGAAGTATAAGGCCTTCACTTTTGTTCTTCTTCTTATTTTGGCTATTAAGATGTCCATCGACAGATGAATGGATAAAGAAGATGTGGTATATATATACAAGGGAATATTATGCAGCCATCAAAAGGAATGAGATCTTGCCATTTGCAACAACATGGTTGGAACTGGAGGGTGTTATGCTGAGTGAAATAAGTCAATCAGAGAAAGACATGTATCATATGATCTCACTGATGAGGAATTCTTAATCTCAGGAAACAAACTGAGGGTTGCTGGAGTGGGGGTGGGGTGGGAGGGATGGGGTGGCTGGGTGATAGACATTGCAGAGGGTATGTACTATGGTGAGCGCTGTGAATTGTGCAAGACTGTTAAATCACAGATCTGTACCTCTGAAACAAATAATGCAATATATGTTAAGGAAAAAAAAAAAAGAAGAAGATAGCCGGAGGGGAAGAGTGAAGGGGGTAAATCAGAGGGGGAGACGAACCATGAGAGGTGATGGACTCTGAAAATGAACAGGGTTCTAGAGGGGAGGGGGGTGAGGGGATGGGTTAGCTTGGTGATGGGTATAAAAGAGGGCACGTTCTGCGTGGAGCACTGGGTGTTATGCACAAACAATGAATCATGGAACACTACATCACAAACTAATGATGTAATGTATGGTGATTAACATAACAATAAAAAAATTTAAAGAAAAAATTATTTTGGCTATTCATGGTCCTTTGAGATTCTGTGTGAATTTCAGCATGATGTTTTCTGTTTCTGGAAAAAAAATGCCCCTGGGATTTTGATAGGGATTGCATTGAATCTGTAAATTCCTTTGGTAGTATGGACATTTTAGCAATAGTAGGTCTTCCAATCCATGAACATGGGAGGTCTTTCCATTTATTTATATCATCTTTAATTTCTTTCAGTAACATTTTGTAGTTTTCAATGTACTAGTCTTTTGTCTCCTTGGCTAAGTTTATTCCTAAGTATTTTATTCTTTTTGATGCTATGCTAAATGGGATTTTTAAAAATTTCTTTTTTAGAATGTTTGTTGTTAGTGTTTAGAAACACGACTGATTTTTAAGTGTTAATTTGTATCCTGCATCTTTGCCAAATTTTTTTATTAGTTCTAACAGGTTTTCTTTGTGGAATCTTTAGAGTTTTCTACATATAAGAAAGAACATGTTGGGGCACCTGGGTGGCTCAGATGGTTAAGTGTCTGCCTTCGGCTCAGGTCGTGATCCAAGGGTCCTGGGATCGAGCCCTGCATTGGGCTCCCTGCTCCGCAGGAAGCCTGCTTTATCCTCTCCCACTCCCCCTGCTTGTGTTCCCTCTATTGCTGTGTCTCTCTCTGTGAAATAAATAAATCTTAAAACAAAACAAAACAAAAAAGAACATGTTATCTGCAAACAGGTAATTTTACTTCTTCCTTTCAAATTTGGATGCCCTTCCTTCTTCCCTCCCTCCCTCCTTTTTTTTCTTTTCTTTTCTTTTCTCTTTTCTTTTTCTTTCCTTTTCCTCTTTCTTTTTCTTTTCCTTTCCTTTTCCTTTTGCTTCTTGCCTGCTTGACTGCCTGCCTAATTGCTCTGACTAGGACCTTCAGTATTGTGTTGAATACAAGTGGTGAGAGTGGGCGTTCTTGCCTTATTACTGATCCTAGAGGAAAAACTCAGTTTTCCACTGTTGTGTACTATGTTAGCTGTGGGCTTTTCGTACTGTTTTGTACTTTTAAAAAAATATGTAAATGCCTTCATTTAGTATGTTTTTATCCTTGAGCATGATTAAACTAAAGAATAGTACATTAAATTTTAGAGAAAGGAATGAGCCAAACAATTTATTAAAATTAAGTTATACAGTGGACATGGATCAAAAAGCCACTATTTATTTCCTGGGAAAATTTATGGGGAATTTGCCTGGTTTCTGATGCCATTGCAATCTGATTTTTACCCAAATTTCTTGCCTATCTTGAAGGTAACTAGTAATCACTCAATTGCAAAACCAGTGGTCTTGTCTTAAACAACTCCTTTTAATCTCTGTAGCATTTGACACTATTGATCAAACTTTCTTAACAGTTTCCTCACTCAATTTTCATATCTTTGTGGTCCTCCTACCACTTTGACTGTTCCTTCGGTCATCATGATTCCTCTTTCTCCTCTTGTTTTGTAAATGTCTATATCCCCTGAGGTTCTGTTTTTTTTTTTTTTTAAGATTTTATTTATTTATTTGACAGAGAGAGAGAGCGAGAGCAGGAACACAAGCAGGGGGAGTGGGAGAGGGAGAAGCAGGCCTCCTGCTGAGCAGGGAGCCCGATGCAGGACTCGATCCCAGGACACTGGGATCATGACCTGAGCCGAAGGCAGATGACCAGTGACTGAGCCACCCAGGCGCCCTGAGGTTCTGTTTTTTGATCCCATCTCTTTTCTCCATTTATGTTTCCTGTCAGTGATCTCGTTGACCGCCATGGCTTCAGTCGTCATCAGCATACAGTTGATTCACAGATCTGCCTCTCCTCTTAGGCTACAGTTGCACTTTGTCTTTGGACACCTCCATCTAAATATCTTACCAGACCTTCAGGTTGAAGATGCTCATAACTGAAAACTTTATCTTTTCTTCTCCCTTGTTTTTGTCTCCATCCTGTGACGATTCCCTAAACCTGGCTGCTGTGATGTTTCTGCCATACCTTTGCTCATGCCATTTCCTTTCCTGTTTTTTGCAGTACTTTTCTTTGCATTCTTCATATACTTCAAGGTCCGCCTCAAATACCATCTTTCTGCAAAGTACTAATCTGGGCAGCCAATGACCTGTTCTCATTCTCTGCTCTAAAACCCTTCAGTTGGGGGTTTCTTATAGTCTATTTCTTAAAATTATGAAGCCGTTTGTGATTTGGTCTGTGTTTGCTTTTCTAGCCATAAGTCTAGCCACTCCCCCTCAGGAACCCTATAATTCATCACATAATCTACACAGAATCACTTCTTGTTCTTCAGGGTAAGGCTACATGCTTTTGTGTACCTGTCATTTCCCCAAAGTGTTTTTTAGGGGTGCAGGGGAAATATCTGGCCTTACAAGGCTAATATGAGGTTTAAGTGAGAAACTGCATATAAAATGCCAAGCATACATTAAAAGTCTTCATAAATGGTGTTAAAGGAAAAAAAAAAAGAAAAAAGAAGCTGCAGTGGCAGCCACTGCTTTCTCTTCGTGGGATCAATTGTGTACGATTGGGGTGTGGGAAATGGTGCCAGACTGAGACAGGCTGCTGAAGGCAGAGCACAAAGGATATCTTCGTACTCCTGGGGAACTGGTGTACCAACCACAAATTCTAGGGAGAGGTCAAGAGAAATTTCTCCCTGGTGTCAGCTAGTGACTTCTTCCTTACCATACACATAACACTTTGTTTCTCTCTTTCCAAAAAGAAATACTTTGTTCATATGGTCCTGCCGCCCACTCTGCCTTCTCCTGTACATCTTCCTTATTGTCCCAGAATATGGCTTTTAACATGCAGGTTGTAAGGGGTGCCTGCATGGCTCAGTCAGTTAAATGTCTTGATTTCGGTTCAGGTCCTGATCGGGTCTTGGGATTGAGATATAGCACAACTTCTTTATCCATTCATCTATCGATGGACACTTACTTTGTTTTCATGTATTAGCTATGGTAAATAATGTTGCTAGGAACATGGGGGTGCAGATATTTTTTTTTGAGTTAGCATTTTTGTTATCTTTGGTTATATTCCAGAAGTTGAATTGCTGGATCATATGGCGTTTCTTAAAACAAATTTTTGAGGATCCTCCATACAGTTTTCCATAGTGACTAGAAACTCTTTGATATTTAATGATCCTTTAGGACCCTACTGTGTTGTCATGTCACTTTTTCTGCAAATCTTCCCCCAGTTCTTAAGACTGGATTAGTTCCTCAGTGTTCCCACAGAACCCTCTGCTTACCTCTATTATAGTACTTATCACACTATATTGTAATTGTCTTGGCTTTCCTTGGAGACATGAGCTAGTATTATATTCAGTATCTTTGCATTATCCCTGACAGATAATAATTACTATCTAAATTTTATCTGTTGAATGAGTGAAAAACTATTGAATTATACATGGTATTATGTTAGAATTTATCTATTGCATATCTGTTTTCCCTAATAAACTGAATATTCTATGAGCAGAGACCAAGTTCTTCATCTTTATATCCTTAATTTGTAGCATAGTACTTGGCTCATAATAGATGCTGAGGGAATATTGAATGCATGGTTGAATGACTATGGCAGGGCTGTCTTTTTAGAATTTCAGTTAAAGTTTGTTTTTGTTTTCAAAAGAAAATGTCTTCTTTGACTATATAGGTAAAGATGAGATATCTGCATGTGGCTCATACTGAGTAATTGATATTCTCCACTCCTCTGTACCAGGGTTGGTAGTTTTATTTAGAAGAGAACGTGTACATGTGAAAAAAGAACTATTCGACAAGCTAGTATTTTATGTGCCAAGTCAGTGATTTGGACAGATAGATGTTGCTTTAGTGTCAGGCTAAATATAACATCTTAATTGGGCTTTTGAAAGTGTGGTACACAAGCAAGTACTTAGAAAATGGTTATTAGTTAATTGGATTGGTGAAAATGGAAACCTGTATCTGTTTTACTTGGCTTATATCCTGCTTATTTTGGAATATTTCCTCATTCATTAGAATTTTTTCACTGAAATTTTAATTCAATTCTTTTTTAGGTCCAAGACAACTTTGACAAGATTGAATTCAATAGGATGTGTTGGACCCTTTGTGTCAAAAAAAACCTCACCAAGAGTCCCCTGCTCATTACAGAAGAAGATGCATTTAAAGTATGGGTTATTTTCAACTTTCTATCTGAGGACAAGTATCCATTAATTATCGTGCCAGAAGAGGTAAGGTGTGGTTCTGGGAAGTTCTCACATGGTGATCAAAGCATTTAATAGATCTAGCTTGGAAGTACTGTGTTAATTCAGTGTAGATATAGAAGGACATCTGGGACTAGTGTTTTTAGATCAGAGGCAAAACAGCCTGAATCCAGAAAAGTCCAAAACTCAATGATTTGGGGTCATGTAATACCCCTGGAGATTTGCAGACAGGGTGGGATTTTTCATTTCTAAATTGCTATAATTATAGATGAATCTGTCCTCATATCCAGAGTCTTTATTCAGTACAAGTCACAACATAATTTTCTGTCTACTTACATATTGGCAAAACCAGTATGGCATTTTAGGAAAGCAGGGCAAAATTGGCTGAATGATGCTATATGGTAAACATAGAATCCACAGTGCTATTTCTCAAGACTGTTTCATGTGAGGAAATACTACCCTTGTTTCAAAGTCCAGAATGGTGACTTTTTATTGTACTTTACAAAGTAAATGAAAAAGGGCATTTGCTTATTCTGTTCTGACTTCTTTTCCCTGAGCTTCCAAAGGAAAAAAAAAAGACAGGTGTAGGGTTTCTGTGCTATCTTACTGCCTTAAAAAATTATATATATAATACATGCTTATTATAGTAGTAAATACAGAAAAGACTAATTTGCAGAATTACAATCAGGTATAGTGTTCCCCTTAAAAGAAATCTGTCATTCCTTAACTTTTGACAAATTATTTCACCTCTTGAGTTTTAATTTCCTCACCTACAAAATAGGGCTCATCACAGTGTTAAAGGGTAGGAGGTTCTGCATTTAAAGGACTTAGCTCAGTACCTGGCATGTAAGATGTACTCAGTAAATAGTGTCAACTCTTGTGACTACTGTTATTGCATTTTTGCACACTAGTCTGCTTATTTCCTTAGGACAGATTTCTAGCAGTGGAGTTCTGAGTCCTAAAAAACACACTTTCAAGGTATTTGATGAACAAGGCAGAATTGCCTGTCAGAAAGGCCATACCAGGGCGCCTGGGTGACTCAGTTGGTTAAGCGACTGCCTTCGGCTCCGGTCATGATCCTGGAGTCCCGGGATCGAGTCCCACGTCGGGCTCCCTGCTCGACGGGGAGTCTGCTTCTCCCTCTGACCCTCTTCCCTCTCGTGCTCTCTCTCTCTCAAATAAATAAAATCTTAAAAAAAAATAAAAAAGAAAGGCCATACCAATTTATATACCTGATTGAGAGGGCCTGTTATTACTTCTGCCAATACAGAGTCTAGTCTGTGATTTCTGTGATTCGTATTCATGTTAGGAAAATCTCTTTAAAAGTTCATACTGCAATATTTTATTTAAAGTCAGCAAGCATTTATTGACTGCCAACAATAAGCAAGGCGCCAAGAGGAATGCAGAGGGAAAAAGATTGCTTCCTGCCTTCAAGGAATTTGTAGTCTGCTCAAGGAAAAAAAATAAGTGAAGTGTAATTCGAAGCAAAATAGATTACCTGTTATAAGAGAGGTGCAAATGCCATGCAAATACAGAGAAGGGAAAGATTTATTCCAGCTTGGGGGAAGTAAGTAAGGAAGGCTTTGTAAGAGGCAATGTAATATAATGGGCAAAAGTTGGGTCTTAAACTTTTTCCATAAAGGGCCAGACAATAAATATTTGAGGCTTTGTGGCCCTCTTGGGCCATACTGTCTCTGTTGCAGTTACTTAAATCTGCCGTTATGGCAAGAAAGCCGTCATAGACAGTATGTTGCTGTGCTTCAATAACATGGACTTTGAAATGTGAATTTGTGAATTTTATATAATATTCATGGATCATGAAATATTATTCTTTTTTTTTTTTCCTCCCAACCACTTAAAACTGCAGAAACTGTTCTTAGGTCATGAGTGTATACAGACATGTCATGAGCCAGATTTGGCTGAGGGGACTAGAGTTGATTCGTGGTCTGTCATTTGCTGTTCCCTGGTTAAGGGCAGGGGTCTGCAGTCAGATTTCCTGGATTTGAATTTTAGCTCTATCACTGTTCACTAGCTGTGTCGCTTTGGGTGATATACATTGTTTGTTTTTGCTGCAGTTTCTTCAACTATACAATAGGGTTAATGCTAGTATCTACCTCCTCCTGTTCTTATGAAGATTGGACAAGGAGAATGCCTGACCCTTGGAAAGTGCTCATTAAATGTTTACTTTTATCTTTATGGGGAAAGTAGCACTTGTGCTGGGCCTTAAAAGATGGGAAGAATTTTGACTAATGGAGAAGAATTCTGGATGGAAGACACAGTGGGCAAGGTTATATGAGTCAGGAAAGCAAAAGGCATGTTTTGAGGTGAGTGAGGTATTCCACTTGTCTGAATAGCTACTTGTCTGAATACACTTACTTAGAAACAGCTGGACGGACTGATTGAAGCCAAAAAGATATTTGGTAGCCCACAGAATTGTTGTGATGGCAGAGAAACCAGGTTTGAATAGTATCCGTCTGGAACTATAGTTGTCACTCCAATGAGGAACCACAAGGAAAATGCTGCTACCACCAGAGGGAGGGGGATTATACTTGTGCTGTGGAACACCTCTGGCCCTGCACATAGTGTAGCCCGGGACTCCAGTCTTCCTGCAGCTGTTCTTTCTGCCAGAGAGAGTTCTCTGTGTCCACTTTCCAGTTCAGTCAGGGGATAACACATCTAATTGGTATGGCCTATGTCAGGTACCATGAAGTAGCTGCAAAGGAGGCCTGTAAAGGATCCATTTGCATTTTTAACTTATATATTGGGAGGTAGGGAATTGTCTAGACATAAGAAGGGGATTAGATGCTAGGCAGTCAAAAAGAATGACACCTGCCATTTCTAACTGGAACATGATGGCTCTGAAGAGGAGTGGTAGTAGATGAGTCTAGAAAGAGTTTTGACTTTATCCTGTAGGCAGTGGGGCACTATGAGCCACTGATGATTTTTAAGCAAGAGAGTGACAAGTAAATAGATGAAATACGGAGAGATGGGAGATGGGAACTTGAGAGAAGATAAGTGGTATTTGAGGACTGAAGTATAGTAATGTCAGTGAGGATGGAAAAGAAGGTCAGATGGGAGAGATCCCGAGGTGACAGGACTAAGTTCATAGTGCCTGACTATGGACAGGTTTCAGGCCTGGGCGATCAGGAGGTAATATAGTGTGGTTGTTTAAAGCATGATCTTTGATAGGGCACCTGGGTGGCTCAGTTGTTAAGCGCCTGCCTTTGGCTCAGGTCTTGATCCCAGGGTCCTGGGATTGAGCCCCGCGTCGGGCTCCCTGCTCAGCGGGGAGTCTGCTTCTTCCTCTCCCACTCCCCCACTTGTGTTCCCTCTCTCACTGTCTCTCTCTCTGTCAAATAAATAAGTAAAATCTTTTAAAAAAATAAAGCATGATCTTTGAAATCAGACTGCCTGGTTTAAATCCCGACTTCTACCACTTTTTAACTATGTAATCTTGAAGAGATTGAAGAGATTACTTAATCTCTTTGTTTGGGTTTCCTCATCTGTAAAGTGGGGATAACTATTTCATTTATTGGACTCTTGTGAGGACTAAAATAGTTGATGATGTGAAACATTTAATATAGTGTCTCGCCCCATGATAAGTGCTAATTGACAGTGTGTATGTGTGTGTGTGTGTGTGTGTGTGTGTGTGTGTGTGTGTGTGTATGTGTGCGCGCGTGCGTGCATGTATGAATGAATGATTGGATGATGAATAAGATGGGGATATGGTGCCTGATGAAGGGTTGGGTATATTGGTATTTTAGGTGGAACATATTTGTGGAGCTGTCCTGTATTCAACTGGAAGTGCACATCTAGGGCTTGTGAGAGGCCCGGACTAGAGACAGAAGTGGGGAAGCCATGGAAGGAGATTAGATCAGGGAGGAAGAAACTGTTGTGGGAGAAGTGAGGGCTGAGGACAGAACTTTGGGGACTGTTTCTGTAGCAGGAAGAGGAAGTAGATTTGGTACAGGAAGCTGAATTGAATAGTCTATAAGGTAGGAGGAGAACTGGGAGAGTGTTGAGTCATGGGTGCCAAAGAAAGAAAAAGTTCTAAGAAGCAGGAAAGTAGTTACTGGCATTAGATGTTGCAGAAAAATTAAGAGAGTGATGAGTGAGAAGTTGCCCTGGGATTTACCAATTAGGTGGTCATTGGTAATCAAGTAGAACACAGTTTCACTGTAGTGGTGGGAACAGTTTCTTACTGCTTAGTAACAGTAATGATGTAATAGTGCAAATATGTTAAAGGAGACATAAAGAATAAAACGTGCTATAGAGTCTTGCACACCAATGTTGTCTAGTTTAATACAGAGAAATATAGAAGGGAATGGAAAATTGATAGGTGTTGAAAAAGATGTACTGATGGCATTTTAAAAACCTAGCTGTTGCTTGGAAGAATTATGCTAATAAAACTTCCAGTATTGTCTTTTAAGACATTTTGTAGTTACTCTGTGTTCTAAATTTATTTGTGTTTTCTTTGGAACTGGAGGTGGGGTGGGTCTCTTAACTGTGAACATGTGATGTTTGGGTTCTTTCCATCACTGAAATATTCCTGGTGGACTTGAAAGTGATCTTGTCCTGATTTCAGTATTAGAAATTAGGAAGTAGGGGCGCCTGGGTGGCTCAGTCGTTAAAGCGTCTGCCTTCGGGTCAGGTCATGATCCCAGGGTCCTGGGATCAAGCCCCGCATCAGGCTCCCTGCTCGGCGGGAAGCCTGCTTCTCTCTCTCCCACTTACCCTGCTTGTGTTCTCTCTCCGGCTGTGTCTGTCTCTGTAGGATAAATAAATAAAATCTTAAAAAAAATTTAGTAAGGAAACTTACCTTATTCCTCAAGGCAGCACTTGTGTGATGTGGAGGACTTGTCATTGGTTTTAAATCATTGTTGAGCCACAGGCTGTGAAGGGAGCCGGCCAGCGCCAGCTTCCTGACTGCTTTGCCTAAGAAACTGAAAAGATTTATGCCCCAGGTGGCCCGAAGAACTGGGACCCATGTGAGCCTTGTGGTGTGCCATGATTCTAACCTTTCCTGT